TAATAATGTCAGTCAATCAGTCGATGACCTCTTGTTAACTTTTCACGGACATGTGTACTAAAGTCGTCCATCAGAGTCATAGATCATATCTAATCGTCCAACATTGCGACTGTTACTTTATCCATAAACGATTCATACTTTTCAATAAAAAATTGATTTATTTTTTGCATATTTTTGTAGCATATTTGCATATTAACATATTTTAGGGTAGGTAAATTTCATCCGTTCTCATCAGTTTTTTGATTTTGTCTGATGTACAGCCTTGAAATGCGTTTCGTTCTGATTTTAACGATCGACTGGATCAGTGCATGACGATGAACGGATAATAGATGATGAGCGAAAAATTGTCCGTATTTTCAATAGCGCAATGGCTTTAAGTACCATTCAATGTGTGAGATGTATCGTATTGTTGAAAAAGCGACACTTGAAAGTTTGCTGGCATATGTGAAACAGGAGATATGATTAAGTAGAAAGGTAATGTTTTTTGTCTTATGTAATGGACAAAATTCTATTTATAAATTTATAAAAGAGTACCATATGTGATCAAATGATCAGAGCCACAGAAGCAACGCTTCTTCCATTTTACAAGTTGAACTTTTGGATCGTCACAGCTTTCTAAGTTCAGTTATTTTTTATACGTTTCAATTTCTTGATCATCTTCGTAAATGACAGAAACAGAGTATTACTGCTGAACAGTGACTTGGGTCAGATCAGGGGAATGTTTCTTATGTTCCTGTGTAAACCATTTAATTGCATTCACTCCCTGATCATTCAGTATTGTATATGTAAAACGGTCTGTAGCCCGGCAAGAACATTTCGTCTTCCTCACTCTGCACGGCACAGTCTCTAAATGTTTGCAACGTTGTCTGGGTTTCCGTGTTCACCATTTGGCACCGCTTCGCCCATTCCTTTCGAAGTCGCTGCTTTTTGTCGGAACTCATCCAGTTGAAGAGGATTTTCTCCTCCAACGCTTTTGGCTTACACACTTGCTGGATAGCTTCCATGGAGTCCTCTCCTTCGAGCATCATCTTACTATTTTCTGGCTGGCTTTGCTTCATGTGGTACTCCTCTTGAATATTTTTGAGGAAAGATTCAAACAGCCGCTCGAGCTTGGCCTGAATCGAACTAATCAGCATGCTGACTACCGAGAGGCCGAACACAACGAATATCGAGCACATCAGCGTGTACTTCGGGTGGTGTGGGACAACGTCACCTAATTGGAAAAAATAATCTTTATGCTCTTAGTAGTGTTTAGGTGAAATAAAGTACCTAAGCCGATGGTGCTGAAGCTGATGAAGACGAAGTAGAAACTGGTGAAGAAATCCCAGTCGGTTTCCCATAACAGAAACAGCGCTGAACAGAAGCATAACCAGAATACGAACAAAACCGTGATGGCTGTCAGCGGTACATCCTCTTTCAGGTGCAACTTCATCGACAGGTTGGGGTGCGACGCTATGAACCACCGCATCGCGCGTTCCGCCGAGCTTAATAGCGCTTTTCCGGTGAAGTCGAGAATGTACAGCAGTAGTGGGATGCCAAACAGCGCGTAGATCAGACTTACCACTCGTCCAACGTTCGTGCTTGGAGCCAGATTGCCGTAGCCTATGAATACATGGCTTATTTTACAATATTCTGTTACCTGTTCGAACTCAAACCGATATACGCTGATTCGCAGGCATATATATTAATTTTAAAAAGGCTAATTTAGGTGTGCGTTTTTTCCAATGGGTGTATTTTTGCAATTTGAGGGGGGAGGAGGAGCAGGGCTCAGTGCAGCAGTGGGCGGTAGTTTTATTTGCTCTTTAGGTTCGGGGTTCGAATCCCAGCGCTGCGTAAAGATATTTTGTTAGCTGCTACTTCCCTTAGACAGTAAATTCCTGTCAAATATCCAAAAAATGACCGATTCCAGCCGCTGACCTGTGAGTGATAAGAAGGACATGATAGTGTTGTGGTATGGTCATGAGAGACTGGAGAATCACACAAGGTGTCAACCGCAAATTTAAAGGAAGTCCCGTTTAAAATGATAGAATCAATTGCCCTGACAGATGTATAAAAACATCTAGTATGTAAACCACTTTGAGAGTGTGACAGTTCAGTTGAATCCCAATTGGTCATAACTTTTAAAAGTTGCGACAACATCTTTCAACCATTTGCATAAAGGAAGCCGAACTCGACTGTCTGAACTGGACCTTAAGCTGTCTAAGATCTATCTTTTGGCTGCTTCCTTTCGGCTTCAGCATAAATGAAGTGGAACAATGGCTTAAAGTAGAGACGGTACGAACCAACTCGCTAGTAAAACTGTCTGAGAGAGACCAGAACCTCGGTAACTGGTACGCCCCCCTCCTCTGATGGTCGTTTATTGTAGGTTATGTTCGTCAAGCACGTTTTATGAGTTTCGAGCTCGTGAGAACCAAGGTGAAAAAATTATTGCATAATATCACCCATTAACTCAAAAACAGTAGTTAAAAAGATATTAACAGTATGAATTACTCGATAATCAAACTCGTTACGGTGGTTACCTGGTATTTTCCATAGCGTTACGGCCGCTGAAAAGTTTTCTGGAAATATTACGCCCTCCAGAATCACTTCCAACGCGTCTAGTATAAATTTAAGTGTTTTCCTTTGCTCTCTGCCCTTCTTTGATCTTCCCGCTTTTAATACTCATTAAACGCACATCAAGGATCAACTTCAGTTTGAACCGTTCAAGTGTAAACAAACATTCGGCGCAATGGTCTACACGATGAGGTTAGTAACGTTTATTTTTGACAAAGCAGTTGCCAAAAATGCATTGGCGAAAACCTGAACTGAAGAAGAAAAGTCGAGAATAACGTAGATTTAAGTTTCAGTTTATACAAAGGAAGAAGCGAACATAAAGTTAACTTAAAAGTTTCAAAGTTTTTCTGTTCATACATGTTTTTTAAAGGATCTCGGCTTTGTTGAATTTTTGCTTTTTAGTTGTATTATTGGATAGTTCAGAATCTGGAGGTGCTTTGAACTTTGAGTTGTCATTTTACCGCCTTAGGTAGTCATTTTACATTTTGGACAATTGTAAACGTTGTCCTCACGGAAGGGAAAATGGCGTTTGAAGAAGGTTCAACGGCAGTTGGCGGCATCCTCGCCTTTGTTCGATATATATTGCTGAAATATACTCTATTGATGTGATTATTTTTGTAAAAACACTTAAGCCGTCAATTTACACATTCAGGTAAGGTTCCATGGCGATCAGAAGTTCATTGCTTGGAATTCCTGCTTTGTCACTGTCTTTTCAACCATTCAAGTTTAATAAACGAGTATCAGTACGGGTTCAGTGGAATCAACAGATTATTAATTACTGTCAAAGAAACAATAAGGTGGAGGTGAATAGCGGCATCGTGACAAAAGTCGCCACATGACAGTGTTCATGAAAAGGGTGCTAGAAATGTATTCCTTCGAAGTGTCAAGAAAGTAGACAACACGGTTTCGACACCTTCGTTTATTCCTTCTCGACCACCGTTGTGTGCTGCTTCTCTCCGAACGCATGTGGTACTTTTGATATTATTTGATATGATGTTGTATTCTCTTTATATGAACTATGTAACAAACATAGTGTGTAATTTCCGGTTTTCTTTTCAAGTACTATTTACCTCCAAAAGAAGAAATTCGAATGACCGGACCAGGGCTCAGACCTGGTACATTTCAGTTCAGAGTCCAACGTTCTACCGACTGAACAACCCTGGCACTGGAGATCAGCTTTCACTGTGATTGTACAATTTAACATTACACATACACCCACCCAGCTTAGGCGGGGTATAACTTCTAAACAATATTTCGTTTTTTTTATCTCATGGTCCTTCTTCACGATATAGCTGGAAGTCGACTGCATCTTGTTGGATTAAAAATGCAACAATCCTAGTCCAGCGATAACTGGGATCGAGATGAG